TGTCCAAGGCCAGTGAGGTTAGTTAAGAATTTCAGAAATCTCTAAAAAATCTGCTTACAGATACAGACCAACCCTGAAGGGCTATCCAAAAAGAAGGGAAAAGTCAACCCAGCCCTTCTAGATTCTAGAATGTGTCTGTCTCAACCCATGTATGATCAAATCAGGCAATCTTTTAAAAAATCCCACCCATCCGGTTGACAGCATACTTCAGTAGCAAAATGTAAATCTGTAAGAAGCCTTCTAATTTGGTGATGCAGCTAAATCCAACAAAGAGGAAAGACAGCCTGAGGTAAGTGGATTCGGATGGCCACATATCCTAGGATACTAATCAAAGCACTAACCTCTCAGAGAGAGGCTTTCTTCAGTAAGGTCAACAGTAATGGTCTCAAAACTTCCATGAGGACAGAACCAAGACTTGTCATGTAGAGGTACAAGATCCCAACAATGAATGTAACTGTACTGTATCCCTAAAATGTACCAATAAACTCAATTAAAGCTGAAAAAAAAACAAATGTGAAAATTAATGATAATGACCATAGCCAATTGCCACTGAAGTATCTCCTATGTTTCAACTTCAGTTGTAAACACTTCTTAAGTATTCACTCATTTAATCCTTAAAAAAATCCTAGAAAGTAAGTGCTATATTTCCATTTTACAGATAAAAAACTGAGGCACAGAGGATTTAGAACTTGTCCATACAGCTAGAGTAGGACTGTTTAAATGTTTAAAATTCAGACCCAAATCCAGGGATTCAAATTTATTTCAATAGGGGCTCTAGAATACTCATTTTTAATGATTTTAAGTACGTGATGAGACTGGTGGTAGCTAAGTGCTGTTAGAAGTTCTGAATGTATACTAGAATCTAAAACACTCTGGTATGTTGATCATGATTCCCTTTATATCAATAGCTTAGCCATCCACAAATTCACAGTTGCAGGCAACTGGTAAACCTGTAAAACCCAAGTCTGGGCTGGTCAGGCTGAAATCCAAGCCCACACATCCACCTATTTTAAGAGCGTATTGCCAATAGATTAAGCACTTGGCAACTTGAAGATGAATATAATCAGAAGTTACCCAGTAACAGAACCAATTACCCACCTACTTTGCCATTTTCCTCCTCTGAAGAGCTACTGGCTGAATGTGGCAATTGTGAGTAATTATTAAAGACACTTAATTCCTTGCAAATGGCCCTGGTATTCACTTTTCATGGTAACTAAAAACAGCATCATGATTAAGTCCAAGGACCTTCACATAGACACTAAAGTTGTTATGCTTTTTTATTATTTATAAAGGTGAGACCACTATAAGCATGACTCCTTTGGATTGATCGAAGCACTTTACAGTATGTGAAGCACTTTTACCCATATAATACTGCTTGATCCTCATAACAATCCACAGTCATTCTTACTATTGTTCCCATTCTACAGGTGAAGAAACTGAGGCTTAACAAATTTATGATTTTTCAAGGTCAAACAAACAGTAAGTTAAAGAATCAAATGTGCCTCTTTTTAGAATGCATTTCTTCAATAGCAGTAGCCGACACTAGAAATGTAAGAAGACAGCACTCAAAGCATTCCCATTGTTATTAAAACTAATCACAAAATGTAAGTATTATTAAGTATTACTATATAACTGTTATTGTTCTATACTACTGCCTAGAATTAGCTGAACTTTATGGAATAAGAATTCTTTTGCTACCTAAATACCTGGTGACCTTTGGAATAGTTGGTTGGCATAGTTGGTTCACTAGTTGGTTGACTAGCTCTAAAATGTATACATTAGTATCTGCTTCTATAGTCTAATATACATTCAAGTTCTGGTTTCAAGGACGAATTTCACTGGAAGAAAAACTTTAAAGTTGAAGGAGGCCTGGGTTCTAGCCAAGCAACTTGTGACAAACCACATATGCTTTCAAGCCTATGTCCTCATCTATGAAAATGGGGATATCAAGTCCTGCTCTACCCAGACCTGCACCATGACTGCAAAGATCAATGAGAAAATATCCCAAAAAAAGCTCTCTGCAAATCATAGCAGACCACACAGGGACGCTATTTCTAAACTTGCACAATGATCATTTTCCTGCTTTTAGAACTGATGTCTTCACATTTCAAGAAATCACATAAAGGCAGAATGATTCTCTTAACCAAAAAAGCATATTGAGTCCTGGCTGTCCTTTCGAAATGGATGCTGATGTCAGCTCAATCAAGAAATTATTAACCTCCGTTTGGTTACTTAAAATAAACTGTACTGGCTGATTAAATGTGCTGAACATTTTCTCCAAGTAACAGTGCCTATTACGAAGAAAGCTTTTTTTTCTGGTTACACATTGCAAATGGCAAATACATCATTCAAAACTATTTAAAATCAATAATAAAAATCAGTTCAATGTATATAAACAAGTTAATGGAGTAAGGGAAAACAAAGCAAATTTCTTAATGAGAGGGCCCTGTTGCCCCCTCTAGGTGCCAGCGGTAAATGCTGGTTTCTGTTCTCCTCCAGAGGAGACTGCTGCTGCTATTCTGCTAATGAATGACTAACTTAGGCCAGGGGGGAAATGACATCACCAGGGTGGAAAACCAATCTGCACTGGGAAACTTTCTACCTGCTTTACATTTGTCATAATTATTTTGCACAATGCAGTCTGTATTTGCATAAATTTGAGGCGTGTCATTATCTCAATTGAAAATTGTTTTAATATGGCTGAATAATTCACAATGACATCAGCCAAAGTCCTAATGAAATATACAAGTATAATCATACAGCTAATTACCAGCCATGTTAGCATTTAAAAAATAAATCATGCATAATATTAGAGGATGTATATGCAGCTGAGGATTATAAATAGAGCCATCTCCCTCCGCAAACCCCCTAGAGTTTACTTTTAAATGGCAAGATTAATTTTCTCAGGTATGGCTCATATAGCAGGGACGAAACCTACAGATCATTACAATGGTTCGCTTTCAATTCCCCATAATGAACAATTAAAAAGAACTCGTGTATTTAAAAATATATCTATTCACTGTCAACAGTTCTAGCTGATGTAATCTTCGGCAAATCTAGCTTTTATACTTAAGTCAGAATTCCCTATTTAATTATACCAACAGAAATTAAAATTGGACACAGCGGGGTCAAGTTGGGGTCTTTAAAAAATATTCCAATTTCAAATTCAAAAAAAAGTGACTACAAAATACCCCATAAAACACTAAATAATTTCCTCCGGGGTTTAGTCAGAAGTCTATTAGGCACCAGCTCTTTTCTGGATATTTAATCCTTCCCTTTTCCAGATCACAGGCCATGTTGAAGTAATAAATTTGAAAAGCAAATAATAAGAAATCAGGAAGGGGGAGGGAGAGGAAGACAGCTGCGGCGGAAAGTTGTGTCGGGGGAGGGGGCCGAGCGAGACCTTGGGAGGGGGAAAGAGCTCAACCTGTTGGTCGGTTGCAGGATTTTTCACAGTATTTCCAAACAACACCTTCGTAAAATTGCAGGCGGGCGTAGGGAAAAGCGAACGCTTAAAAACCCCAAGCTGCCGGGGAGGGCCGAGCGAGACCTTGGGAGGGGGAAAGAGCTCAACCTGTTGGTCGGTTGAGCTTAGACCACTGTTGGGTAATTCAGTCCTGGGGAGAGGGAGTGAGCTGGTGATGCCAAAAGTACAATCAACTCTATCAGGCCAGGGGATTCTGGAAGGATGAGCAGCTTCGAGCCCCGCGAAGAGTTAAACCGGGAACCATTCATTTAACAAAAAGATCCTCAGACCTACCTCGAAAGCTCGAGAGCCTGGCACCGAGCTAGCCGCCCTCCAAAGTCTCAGTTTGATTACCCTGCTCTCGCCTTGGCAACACAAAGCCTGGCCAGGCGGCCGTGCGCCCTCCCTCCCTGCCGCGCCCTGGGCACAGACTCCCCAAAATAGTTCCCCGGCTCGGTACCGCGGCGC